AGCTCCCAGTCTGGTAGATAAACCACAACCTCTGAATGTGCGATGATGTCAGAGAAATTCAAGGTAGAACTCGTCCGTTTGTGGTCATGTTGCAGCTGAACAGAATGTTTGGAGCAGGGATCACTGACCACTAACTTGTTGGAGGCTCAGACTTTTCTGGAAAGACACTGAGATTTTTGACTAACATTATTATTAGATGTTTATGTTGGAGTCCAGTCCAGTGGTGGACTGTCATGTAACACACTGGTCCCAGTAGGACAGTGTAGTTAAAGCACGTGTGTGTGTGTGTGTGTGTGTGTGTGTGTGTACAGACACCTGGGTGGTCTGACCACAGCAGCATCAAAGCCTGAACAGACGTCCAGACGTCGGCTCAATTCAATCTCCTCCTCAAAGTCTAAGCTCAGCGTTTGTGGACGGTTTGTCTTACAAATCAAAAGAGAAGCAGCTCCGACAACTGGATTCAGATCCAGTCCTCAGTAGAAGTTAAGCCTGGACCCTGAAGCTGTTAGAGTGTAATCCATCTGTGTGCAGCGCTCCACTTCACACTTTTTAATTGGTGTTTGGATTCTTTTTGGTAATTAGGGCATGAACAAAGCACCAAAAACAGAATTTTTTTGTGAAGAAAACAGATTCAAACCAACACAGGGATTAACCACTGAAAACAGACTTTAGAGTTGGTTCAATCTGTCACGATGTGTTCAGTTATAGCTGCGTTGACCTCGGATGAACGGACTAAAGGCCAACGCTCTTTGGTGAAACGGTTAAACCCTGTGTCCATTCACCACTGAGTGACGGAGAGCTGCCGTCCACGCTCTGTTCTGTTCTGGTTCTGGCTCTGTTCTGTTCTGGTTCTGGCTCTGTTCTGTTCTGGTTCTGGCTCTGTTCTGTTCTGGTTCTGGCTCTGTTCTGTTCTGGTTCTGGCTCTGTTCTGTTCTGGTTCTGGCTCTGTTCTGTTCTGGGGCTGGTTCTGTTCGGGTTCTGGTTCTGTTCTGTTCTGGGGCTGGTGATCCATCCACCTCTGCTCCAAACAGAAACCTGAATGAATGAATAAATTCATTCCTGACATTCCAGACAATGGAGCTCACAAATGACAGCAGGGAACAGTGTCTGTGTGTGTGTGTAAGCTGATAAGTCATGCACTGATGAGTCCATGTCTTAATTACCATGAGAACATATTGTCAAATCTGGTTGAAGAGTTGGGGATAATTAATTGATCTTTTAATTAAAAACTCCCACATTCTTTGGATTCTGTTTGTAAACAAAAGCCTGTGGTTCAATAAATCACTGTGGACTGTGATGTTTCTTAATAATGTTTTAACAATAACATGACTCCACTGACAGTCGCCATTTTGAAGTAAACCACTGTTCAGTCAGGGTGTAGGCCACGTCGCTGCCTCCACCCCGTCTGGAGCTCCTCCGTCTGGAGCCATGATGAACTGCACCGGCAGTGCGTAGTCCAGACACTAAATTACTGGGATTATTGGGCCTTCGTGGTTTTTGTGCATTACTTTGAAACCCTTCAAATCCCCACGGTGCGTTGTACGATAAATAATGACTTAAAGCGTGTCAGTGTGATGGAACTGGAATGATTGGACGAGACTGGGTTTTTATAGCTGTGATCTGTCTTTACAGAGTCCTAAATCAGACAGACTGGGTTTTATTTATGGGCAGATAAAATCTTTGGCAGATTTTCTTTGCCTTTTTACTGATGTATTAGGATAATTCATTTATTTCATTTGTGTTTCAGGGGTGAAAGTTTAGATTAGATTAGATTAGATTAGATTAGATTCACTTTATTGTCACATGTCATCATTTTTATGTCATAAGTATCTAAGCAGCCATTTAAAGGCCGTGGTTGTAGAGTAAAGCCCACTGTCATGGAGCAGTAGCTGTTGGTCCAGGGGTAACGTCAGATTTGAAAATATAAACAGGTCCAACACAAGGACCACATTTTAAAAGCTTTGATATTTTTTTCATTCTCCAAACCTTAGTAAAAACGTCAGTAAATGTGGCTCTGACGTTTCAAGTGTCGACGCTGCCGTGTTCCGTCCTGGTCAGAGCTCAGAGTGACGGCCGGGTCACCCTGGAACTTTTGGACTTCAAATAATCAATGCCTCCAGTGTCGGCGTCTCAGGACTGACTCAGACTCCGTCAGTCAACACTGGGCTTTGATCCTGTCATCTTTGTCCTGCTTTATTTTTATTTCTGTTGTAATTGTTGTCACAGTTTCTTTCACTTTTCATTCATCTCAGTGTTGAACGATTTTATGACAGGGTTTGTTTTTTTTTAACATGTTTTACTGATGATGGTTGAAAACCCAGATTGGAGTGAGAGTTTTTTTGTGGTTATAAAGTGGTGATGTCATCGGCTAAACATAAATATAATCTAAACTAAGAAGCAGTTATTGTCGTTGTAGGAGACCACAGTGTTTTTGTTTTACCTTTGGTGAAAACAATAATAAAATGGGTAATGATGTAGTGGAGGCTTAATTAGCAGCTTGACTGTCCAATAGGAACGCAGCTATGTCAAAGTTCGTGTCGACTGGAGACACTGGTGTCAACATGACGGCTGTGATCATCAAGGTTCTGTGAAGCTTCCTCAGTGTTTCATTAACCTGGACCCTGTTCTCTCTCTGTGTGTGTGTGTGTGTGTGTGTGTGTGTGTTAACTCTTTGATGTCAGAGTTAATTATACCATGTTGAAGCTGAGATTACGACCACCTGAAAGTTTAGGGAGACTTTTACAGATGGAGTTAGTGGGCGTGGAAACGTGTAAATGTCTCAAGTGTCACTTTGTGACGTGTGTCCATCGTGTCCAACCAAAGACACGTTTGTTCATTTAGCATCGCGCTAAATACAGCAAACATGAGCACGAAAGAAAACTGTCTCCTGTCTCTGTGACACGTGTCTCACAGACACACGTGTTTTAATTTGTTCTCACTGCTCAACAGTTGCCATGGTATTGTGAATGTGGGCGGAGCCTGCAGCTGCTCATTACCATTTAAAGATAAAGGAACAGGGATCAGATGTTCAGAACAGCTCCAGTAAAGAATCCCAGAGTTTGTTTGTTTGTTCACATCACACATGCCGTTACAAATTACTGCTGACCGTTGGAAACAATCTATGACATCATGACAGCGTGATGTTCAAGCACAATGACTGTGTGGACGAGAGTCGACGTCTCTGGTTCTTCAGATTCTTCACCAGAAACGACGGGTGATAAACTGTTACACTTTAATATCCTGTGTAAATGACACACGAAAACACAGGACGGTGACGGTGCTCATCAGGATGCAGAGGAGGTTGTGGAGCAGCACATCCATCATCCCAGAACACACTGTCACATCACTGAGCTGCTCTTCATGATCAGACGGCACCAGTGCATGAAGTGGCCACACGTCACCTCCAAACACCCTGTGGACAGAGGAGCAGCCGCTAAAACAACAAAGGAAAGCACTTCCTATTTGAAAAACAAAAACAAAAGAAGAAAGGATTACAGTGTGAATCTTGTGTGAATCTTATAACGGTTGTTATTGGGTCATGGACAGCTGAACCAGAGGTTGTTCTTAGGAAATACAGCCCCAGACCATGTCCTGGTTCCAGACCGGGCTGCATCTGGACCCAACATGAAAGACCAAATGTTTCTGTTAATGAATGCACATAACAGTTGGTCCATTGTTCTACATCAATCAAACGTCTTTAAATAATGTCCTTTTATTTTTTTAAAGTTATTTAAACACAGTTCAGTAATTATGAAAAGTACAAAGGAACGTGTGCCTTAGAACCCGGCGTAGCTGTGAAGCTGCGTTGTAAGGATTTACAGCACATTTCTGGACATGAAAGGATCCTCGTTCTGCACTCACAGAACCTGTTTCTGCCACTGAGTCTTTGAACTACCATTAAGCCTCTTATCACCAACAGTCCAATTCATTTCCTTTTTCCA